TGGACAGCAACTGCCTGTTGTAGAAGCCTACATATGTAGAGGACGATGTTTCGAAAGTTTTCCGAAACGTCATCCTCTACATTTGTAGGTTTCTACAACAGGCAGTTGCTGTCCATTTGAAACTTAGACTCAATATTGATGTTTCGATAATTCTTAGCTCAGAAAAAAAAAAAAAGTTGTTACAGCTTCTATTTATATAAAGAAAAGAAACAGTCAAAAATTATTCTAATTCAAAATAAATATCATATTAATCGTAAACTTAAAATCTTACTCAAAAATACATAAAGTTTTAAATAGGATGGTCCATCAGAACACTACTCAGAGAATGTGAGTAACCTGAAGTCGCAGTAAGCTCACATATTTAATACTTAGTATCACTGTGTAACAAGATAAGTATTTTCTTTAGATTATCAAGCATTTCTTTAAGCTTATTTTAAAAGTCCAAAAAGAGATAACATTCAAAACATAATAAAAATTAAGATGTCCAGAAATATACTGGTATAAATCTAACACTTAAAAGAACCAAAAATTAAAAAATATATACATAATTAGTTAAGTGCAAGATTTAAAATACTAAAGACTTTAAAGAATTAATTCACTACAAGAGATACTATATTTAAGAGCAAGTAAAACACTACCTCATATTCAGCAATTTTTAGTTGTTTCTGTTGTTCAATACCTTGATATCTAGTAGAAGCTTCTTTCCAAGTGTTACGATAGTTAGTTTCCATTACATAATGAATAAGCTGAGAATAAGTCAGATTTTCAGGGCTGGATTGTTGTTTGCGTTGCTTATTTTGCTGAACCCAAGATATTCTAGAAAGCATAAAAAAATTGTTGGTTATTTTTTAATCACAGCTTTATTTTGTCAACATTTTCTGCATATTAATGAAGCACACATATTCAGCTATAAGCAACTTTAAGTTCTGTCCATGTGTCACATACATATATATATATATATATGTTACAGATCAATCTTTGGCTAAAACATTTGTAAGTTAAATAATCAAATCTTGAAGTTTAACATCACCTATGTTAAACTACTCTCAGTGTTATGGCAGAATAATAAAACCATCATCAATTAATGTTCATTATCAAATACTTACTAACTTATATAAGACAATACATGAAATGAATCCAAAAGGATAATTACCTTCGCACATTTCCTTTCCTTTTTAAAACTAGCTGAACTGACACTAAACTCCATGGTGGAACAACAGTAGTTGAAGATTGATGCAATAAAATTTTGACTTCAGTATCACTTAGTTTATCATGTAGAGGAAATGTTGAAGGAACATTTTTGTGACTGATGAGTTCATCTAACCACCTATGGTGCACCTAGGTATTAAAAAAAAAACACGTTAATCTGAATCAACAAGTTTAAAAACTAAATACAGCGTAAAACAAATTCTGAAAACAGGCATTCACTTCCACATCATTTCATGCATATTGTGTGTTGAATATATTGTTTCAATGTAAAACCCGAAGGCACATTTTGACATCAGAAGAAAAAAATTGAGATATTTTATTACTACATGAAATAATAAGTTAGAATGAATGTTTTGATATTAAGTAGTAGTAATAACCTCTGTATTTCAATATCACATAAAAGCCATCAAGATAGAACAAAGATATATAAAGTCACATCTGTGTTATATTTGTATCACATTGACTTTTATTATTTAGTAATTTATAAATGTTTTTTCAAAACCTCTGAAAAAAATGCATCACAGATGAGATGCTGTGAACCATTACCTTAACATGACAGCTTCAATTTATTTAAACATTGCTACTTTTTAATATTATTAGGGGCAAAACTTGTGTTTCACATATGAAACACTGTTTTTGGTTGTAGTATTCTGTGTTTGAATACACAAAGTTTATAAAACATAAAGGCAGTGTTGTGTATTTAAAACAGTTAAGTGACTTGTCTAGACTACTCATGTATTAGGTTAGGTACATAGAGATTTGAACGAAACTGATGGCCGTAGGGGCATTTCAATTAAACCTAGGTGGGTGAAACCTATTTCACATGTGATACCCACCAAACACCTCTAAGTACAAAAACACTGAGCAGAATTGTGTGATAAAAAATGACAAACCAATTGACTTGTCTAGTAAGAGACACTAGATCTAGTGACACTTTCATAACCTGGGTATTGGGTATAAGTATTAAAACTCAGAGTGATGGTATCAGTACTCCAAGTGTCTATAAATAACTGAAGTTCACACACAACACCTTAATACGTAAACACTGCTGTCCGAGATAGAGCTCTGAGAGATGACAGATCCATTCCATAAATACCTTTTATTTTGCAATGCACAGTAATATCTACACTCACTGCTCCCTTATGAATACAGTGATGTCATCTGTAGTTCTCTAATCATAATTTCATTTTTGGATAGTTTAATGAAGCTTAAAAGGTTTAGTGCACATACATTATTCTTTTCATTATATATATTATACTTATTTATCTTTCTGATTTTAAATTTATAGTTATCAAAAGTAGTAAGATTCTATTGTCCTTCAAATTATTTTTCTCCATTCTGGATATAGCTTTTGGTTTCATATTGTAGTCAACTGAGATAACTTGAATATCATAAATATAAAATTACACAGTTTGAATTTTAACAATGAACATGTATATTACAAATGTGTTAAAAATAAGCAAAACTGCTACAATAGAAAATTTTGAATGTTAACATTTACCTTACCTGAAAATGTATTCCCAATAGATACAAATCACTTCAGGACACAGATAGCTATTCCCCCTTGAGTTTGTGCATTCTGCCTAAGTGACTTGTATGTCACCAACCTTGTGAAACTCCCACCTAATTTTATGTGAATTTGTGCTACTACAGGATGATGTATCGTGCAGCAAAACCATCCACCAATAGAAGTGTGACACACCTCCATGCACAAATACTCCCTCTAAATTCGTGTATGAAAACCTTCATTCTTTGACAGCACAATACAAACAGTTGCAAGGTGAACCAGAATAGTGGGGTGGATGGGTGGGAACGTGTATGGAAGACAGTATTCATTTTGAGGGGGAGGCATTTGTCCCCCTTTGGAAGGATGTAATATCCCAAGGAAAAAGTGATTTGTGAGGATCAGAAGGAATGGAAAATAGGAAAGTGAAATACAGGGCTGAGACAAGAGGAGACTGAATAATATAAACTATGGTTGGGACCACCTGTGAGGGGCAATCAGATGGACCTTGCAAGGAGTGTTCCAAACAGAGCAAAGACCTGAGGGAGTAGGTGAAGAGGATGTGGGTAGGCATAATGAAAAAGATGGGACCAGTCCTGACTGAGGACATAGACAGCCAGAGCTGAGAAATTAATTGCAAAAGACTAGAAGAGAAGATTAGCAATAAGAGGTGTGACAAAGGCAATAAAAAAAGAAGAATAGCAAGTTGATAGCAGAGCAACGAAAGACTAGTGGGTGAGGAACCATTCTGTGGCAAGGGCATAGTCATGTTCAGAAGACAGCCCGCAATAATGTACAGTGTCCCCAGAACATGACAGGTTATGAAACTCATCTGAATGGAACAGACCGAAAACTATGTCTAAACATTATTTTCCATGTGCATATATTAAGAAGTATATAACTAGAACTGTACATTATCCTTCTTGGGTACATGTTAAGGGGTAATTAACCGCGACTAAACATTACCTTATATGTAGACACGTAAAGGGGTAATTAACCGCGACTAAACATTACCTTATATGTAGACACGTAAAGGGGTAATTAACCGCGACTAAACATTACCTTATATGTAGACACGTAAAGGGGTAATTAACCGCGACTAAACATTACCTTATATGTAGACACGTAAAGGGGTAATTAACCGCGACTAAACATTACCTTATATGTAGACACGTAAAGGGGTAATTAACCGCGACTAAACATTACCTTATATGTAGACACGTAAAGGAGTAATTAATTACGACTAAACATTACCTTCTATGTAGACACGTTAAGGAGTAATTAATTACGACTAAACATTACCTTCTATGTAGACACGTTAAGGAGTAATTAATTACGACTAAACATTACCTTCTATGTAGACACGTTAAGGAGTAATTAACCAGAATGAAATATTATTGTCTATGAGTTACACGGTAAATAGTAATTAAATACCAACTTCTCTATGTACAAGTGAAAGAGTGATGAACTACAACTAAAAATATATTCTTAAGGAGTAATAAATGTTTAAACACTAAATTCTATGAGTTACATGTCAACTCCTTTCTTCGGTGACCCTTTTCTGCACACGTCACAAGATTTTACTTAGTTACATTTAAAATTTAATTAAGCTACTTTATTATTAATGTTTGCCAATAAAATCAGCATTAAAATCTACACTATAGTTCAAAGTTTTATATTATCCAAATTTTAATTCCTTTATTTCAAAAGAAACCTTAAAGAAAAATTCTTAAAGTTTTGTTTCTCTCATGCTCCGCAAGTTCAGAAAATGTAAAATTTGTGTCTTTGTAGTTTTTAAACAGTTCTCACACTAATCTTCCATATACAGAAAGAACCTAAGTTAACTTGCTCTGTTTACACATTCTTCTTTGTAGTTTTTAAACAGTTCTCACACTAATCTTCCATATACAGAAAGAACCTAAGTTAATTGCTCTGTTTACACATTCTTCTTTGTAGTTTTTAAACAGTTCTCACACTAATCTTCCATATACAGAAAGAACCTAAGTTAATTGCTCTGTTTACACATTCTTCTTTGTAGTTTTTAACAGATCTCACACTAATCTTCCATATACAGAAAGAACCTAAGTTAATTGCTCTGTTTACACATTCCACGGGACATTTTTGGAGAAACAAGTTTCTCTGAACTCTTGACAAATGCTACACCCATTTTATACACATAGAATAGCAACTGCTCAGCCAATTATACTTAGTTGAGCTAGATGTTTATAACCAATGGAAAGGGTGCTTTCTGAAGTACATTCTCTTAACTTTTATTTTAAAATTGGCATGAAGAATCATAGTCAAACCACTCTTCGCATTGTGGCTGCTTTGTCCCCACCAATATTTTACTTAATTATGTGTTATTTTTGTTTTAACATACATATTTGAAAGGTTTAATAATTTATTTTACAAATATAAGCCAATGTTTGATCAGTTCACAGGAGATAGTGCAATATGCAAACCCCACTACATTCTGCCAAGGGTTAAAGTTTCTCTGCTCACTATATGGTAATATTGGCCAGGGACACCCACTGATGTGTATTACAATAAAAAACAGCAGTAAAGAATTATTAATTACGAAAATCAATCATAAGAGAAAATGTAAAGACATGCAAAAAAAAAAGAAGTTGTTGTAAGATTAATTCACAAAATGTTAAGATGTATGTACAGTTTTCCTATGTCTTAATTTTAAACATTTCATTGGAATGTACCATAAAATATATAGTACAAGTTGATGATAATAGCTAGTTAGTAATCTCATAGAGAAAGTGAAAACAATATATAATAATTTAACTTAAATTAAAAAGAACTTTTCATATTTACTTTGGAGTTTCTAGGAGTTGTGCAAATGAAATTGGAAACCTATAAGGTGTAAAAAAGTATATATTTTTATATTCGCATTGTTTTGTTGGTTACACGAGAGACTAATTGGGTACAATCCCATAAACTTAGAGTTAAGGAGGAAAAAACCATATGTAAACAGTAATTTCTACATGTTACCTGGTGAGGCATAAAACAGCAAAAACAAAGCTGAAATTGAAAGAAATGCTAGGTACCTAACTAACTGGTCAGGGAGAAGAAAGGAAATCACAGGTAGGACATTTATATAAGGTGAGCAGAAAAAGTCAAAAGATATTCATTAAGTAGAGAAGTATTCTTAGAAAATTGTTTGGAAAAAGCCATCAAAATCATCCTCTTTAATGTCTAGCCCAAAAAACGGCAATGAAAACGAGTAGAAGGGATAACAGTAGAGGGTTCTGGCTGCATAACGACTCCATTACATGATGCAAGGTGGCTGTTATATCTTCCAGAGATAAAGAATTTCAGCAGAAATGGAAGAAACATCTGAATATGTTAAACTCAATGAAATTGAAATTTGATACATGAGAAAAAAAAAGAAGCAAATCTCAGCAAACTCACAACATGTCTGAATATGTTTGTGCCGAGGAAGAGAATGAAGACTCTCACACACGAATGTAGAGGGAGTATTTGTGCATAGAGGCGTGTTGCACTCCTATTGGTAAAGGGATTTGCTGCATGATACATCATGTAGTAGAACAAGTTCAGTGGACATACATAAAATTACACAAGGTTGGTTGCATACAAATCTCTCAGGCACAAACTC